CGTAACCCAGAAATTGGCCTTTCCTGACTGTCTTTCGGCTTTACTTCGGTTTTCTTTGACAATTTCGAACCGAGTTCCGTTATGGTCCGTTACTCCCGTTCTCGTTCGGACTTCATTATCTTTTTGAGGAGTTGTTGTATACATCAGCTTCTGTGCCCGTGGTACATGGGCTCCTATCTTGACCTTCACACGCGTCGCCAAGGTTGGTCTTAAATTGACTCGCTAGTCGCTGTAGACCTCAGTTGCTCCTTCTGGGAGTTTTGCTCTCTGCACTTTGATTCTTCTGACAATGATCTCCTTCTCTTGATCCTCATTCTTTTCATCATCCTCATCAAGGTCAAGCAGATGTTCTTGGTCTGAAAGGTCACTCGCTCCCGAACCTTCAGAAGTGGTCGAGTCGTCGCTCGCACTTGAGAATTCCGAATCGGATTCGCTGCTATTATGAGCTTCAAGCGCTATTATGACGCTTGGCGCGCTTCATGCTATTATGACCTTTGGTTTTTTCTTTAGTTGACCGTTCGTCGACACCTTCGTCTTCACTTTCCGTTGAAAGGTTATCGTCTGCATCCTAGAAAGCTTTTTCGCTTTTCGTTTTTCGAACAGAGGTTTGTCCGTTTCCTTGGACGTTCGTCCGTTACGTGCAGCTATCCTTGGATTGGTTCGCTTTGCGCGAATCCTTGCTCTTGATCTTTCTCTTTCTTCGTCTTCCGAGCTGTCACCCGCTTCTGGTTTGGAACTTTCAGCTTGCTTTTGTACTTGCGCGGTATTCAGCGACCTTTCTGCTTCTCCTACTGGCGGACCTTCCTCACCACTTTTGGGTGACCTTTCGTCAACTTTCGGAACTGACCTTTCTGGCTCTTTTTCCATCAGCAATGCGTTTAGTGACCTTCCGTTCTTCTCGGCTGGTGCACGTTCCTCACCATTGCCGAGTGACTTTTGAAGTGACGCCGCTAACGCTGCTGCTTTTTTCTCTTTTGGAGACATTTGAGCCTTTTTCGCTTCTGTTACTGGGATTTCGTTTTCCTTATCCCGAATTGCTTGGTTCAGTTCCTTGATCATCTGAGACAGCTCGTGCGCTGTGTATGTTGGTTCTTCTTCTTCGGCGCCTGTGCCGCTTTCTTGAGCAGCGCCTGTGCTGACTTCTTTATCTTCGACTACTTCGGCGCTTATGCCGTTATCTTTTTCAGCGCTTGTGCTTTTATCTTCAATGGCGCTCGTGCCGTGACCTTTTGGTCTCTTATTACCAATGAAGACGCAGTTTGCCATCAACTCTTCTGTGACCCAGTCGTCACTCGGTATCGTCTCGTACATTCACCAAGTATCTCCGTCTCGTTCGGGATATTCCACTATATCTGGATTTGGTGCAAAGGTCACTTTTTTCTTTCCTGGGTAATCAAACGGTCCCGGTGCTCGTCTTTTTCTTGAGACTTTGAGTTCTGGCACTTCTCCCATAAATACTGGGACTTCTTCGACGATTTTCCCCCACTGTTTGTTCAATTGCCCTAAATTCCTTTCTTAAGGCAGGCCTGGTAAAGGTCAAGTAGTTCGTACACTGGTGTGCCGAGTCCAGTTGGGAATATGACCGTTCTTCTTTGACCTCTCCATAAATAATTGACTCGGAATTCCCAGAATAAGTCGACCCTAGCATTTTCCCATATTCATTTTCATCTATTGCTCGTCGCCTTCTCTGTCAAGCTTCGTTATCGGATTGGTGTACCACGGGTCGCTTTTATCCGCCTTTTCGGTACTGAAGTTATCAGCTTCTTGCTGCTTGTGGTAAAGTCACTTTCCTCTTGGGATAATAATATAGTTCTTCACTACAGAGTACAGATAACCATTCCCGGTAGCACTGCCAGAAGTAAGTTGCTTTTGGCAGCTCCGGCATGGGAAGCGTTCTCATGATTGATCTGACGTCTTTCCGTTCTTGTCTGTTATGACGTGCAATTGCTGCATTGCATTTCGGCCATTCCGAAAGGTCATTTTGTGTCATTGCCAGCATACATTGAGCGCACATTTCTTGAGGTCTTGCTATCGAAAAGTTATTGCTGTCGTGCCAATCGTGATGGCTGCTCCCTCTTCCGCCGTCCATTCTCTTGGTTTGGGGCGAATAACGACGCGATTGTCCCCTTCGTCTTCCGTTTCTGTCCGTTCTTGGTCGCACTCCTTGACTTCGTTGCTGTCTGACGATATCTCGATGGCTTCAATTTCTTCTACAGAGCGTGGTTCGGAAGTATGACGACGACTACGCTCTGCCACATCTCTGCGCGAGGGCGTGTCTTGACCTTTCAGCGGCTCTCTGGCTTCATCTCGTATTTCCGAGAATAGCGCCCGTTCGTCGCTATTCATCAGTTCAGGTTTTTTCCTGGGCCCAACCCTTTTCGCGACCGGTGCCTCTGGTACTGGGATTAGCCCTGACCACTCCATCCCTGAGACAAGCAAATGTTTTTTTTTGCAATCAACATTTCTGCTTGCATAATTTTTATCTGTTCCATTGTCGGTGACCTTTGTTTCCTTTTGACTTTGGTGACCTTTTGCTTCTTTGAGCATTTCGCGAGCCCTGTGCCTCTGGTACTAGGATTAACCTTTCACCGCTTTCATTTTGCTGATTATCCTTCGATCCCTGCGCTTCTGTTATTGGGATAGCCGTTTGCCCCGAATCATTTCTAGGTTGAAGTCCGGTGACCTTTCCTGCAATAACTTTTGCAGAGGATTTCGGCTCATCGTCTTCAGCTTTAGTTTCTCTTTCTTCCTCGTCCTCTCCATCTATTAGGACAAATTTCTTTGCGAGGAAGTCAAATCTTAACAAGACTTGAACACCGTCTGACGCTGGTCTGACGTAAAACGAGTGTTGAATCGTTTTCCTTGTTAAGGTCACTTGTGCGACGCAGTAATGCGTTACTTAAAAACCTGACGTTCCGCTGATTCCTTTGATCATCACCGTCCTCTTCGGCGGAAGCGGTAAAATGTGGAGGCCGTTCCTTTCACAAAATTGTTGGCAGATCAGAGATGTTTCTGCGCCAGTGTCAAGCATCGCCATGACCTTTTCATTTCCCATCTTGACTTCGCGCGTGTAAGCTTCGATCCTATTCGGTAGGTTTCCGTCTCCAAGTTTCCAGACTCTTATTCGACGCTTAACTGGGATCGATGGAGCGAGCATGCTCTCTATCAGACCTTTCGAGCTCCCACAATCGATCCGTTTCGGTACGTCGGGTCGTATGTCTGAAAACTTTTCAATCCGCTTTGACTTCGGTAAGACATTGGCTTGCTCCTTCGCGGCGGTCTCATTACCCGTGACCTTTAATACTTCGCACGTTTGCCCTTTTGCTTGTGCGTTCTCGTGACTTTTCGTCACTTCTGCAATGACTTCTTATTGCGACCTTTTACTGCGCACGTCATTGGACAGCGTTTCTCGCAAGTGCTCAATAATTTCCTGCGTGATTCGATCTGCGAGGGTCATCTTGTCATCTTCATTATTTTTCAGCTCCTGTGGTGACCTTTCATAGACAACCATCTTGTGGTCGTTTTCTTTCATCCATTCCTTGATTTTTGTCGCAGCTTCGTTATTTGTGCGAGTTGGGTCAATTTAAGATGACAATCCGTCAGTTCTGGGCGGTGACCTTTCATTGTCATTCCGGATTGCTTGCGTCAAGTCGTATGACTTCTCCTTCTGCGGAGTTTCCGGTGCCCTTTCTTGTCGAGAAATAAAAATCCACCATTCGGTGACCTTTGTACGGGCACTTTCTCGCCATACTGAGGCGGTAATTCACCCTTCCTAATTCTTTCCTGGAACTGACGGTTATTTTCGTCACATTGGTTTTTTCTTTTTCCAGTACTCTTGTACTTGAGGTTGTGTAGCTTTCACGAGTTCTTCGAGATGCTTTCTCACCCGCCAGTCTTGTCTCTCCCTTTCTTCCCAGTAGGCTTCTCTGGAAATCCTCGCATCTTGCGGTGACCCTTGTGGCGGAGGAACTGGTTTCCAAATACCGTGCCGTCCATGCGGTCTGTAAGCATTTTTTTGCCGCTCCATTTTTTGCTGTAGATTGTTTGCTTCGTCGAGAGAGTCGTCGGAGACCTACTGCGCCCCATCAGTCTGTTTCACTGTTTGCTGCGCCATTCGCAGAGTCAAGTTACTTTTTTGACCTTTCGGTTCATCGGCGACTTCACTGTGACCTTTCCAATTCAGTAACTTTTGAGTCTGTTGCACTGGCTGTCTCTCGTGACTTTTCACTTCTTCAGTTTTTTCTTGAGGTGACCTTTCAATCTCCTTCGCTCTTTGCGCTGTCCCAGCCCTTCCGCGACCTTTCTTAGCAGCACACTTTGCATGCTGCGTCTCTTTGACGTACTTTCGGAATTTGGAATGATGTAGTCAGAGGCTGCCATAAATACGGCTGTCCGTGGGTATCTCAGTGAAGGGAGGGCGGCCAGATGAAGTCCAAAAGAATTTCCTGTTGAGAAAATTCTGAAAAATGGCGACGGAGCGGAATCGAACCGCTGGCTAGCAAGTGTGATCCGCATAGCACAGCCACTGTGCCATCGCCGTTGTTGGCTGAGATCAAGACACTTTCGTCTCGTTACTTTCGTGACATCTTTGACTTGCAGTTATTTTCTGCTGTCCCGGATGCAGAGTTGATGCCCTTTCATTAACTCTGTTTCCCGCAGTTACTTTCTGCGGTGACCTTTGGGTCAGCCCCGGCTGAGTCAAGTTACTTTCTTGACTTCCCGCAGTTACTTTCAGCGGTGACCTTTGGGTCAAATTCTTCCGTCCTTGCGGTAATCTCTTGATGGCCTTGCCATCGCCTTTTTGAGCCCCTTCGCTCGAGTTACTTTCACGAATCCTCGGATTTCATTTCCGGGTCTTTGCGCTATTTTCGCATCATTCTTTTCGCGCCGCGGTCCTTGCCTGCGGCGAAGCACCTTGCTCCTATATATCCAGTGGTTTCGGTTCCGGACGATCAGTAGGAGCACCGGCGCCTACTGACCTTGCACTTTTCCCTGAGCCATTACCTGCAGTGGTGCACCTTGCGCCTGACCGGCACCGTTCGCCGGGGCGAAGGTAAATCCGCCTCCTTGCTGCCCGAAACCATACTGGTCTCTACCGGCAAAGCCGCCCTGCTGACCGCCGTAATCGCCCTGGCCACCTCGACCGGCGAAATTGCCCTGGCTTGACTGGCATAATTCTGGCCACCTTGACAACCATTGCTCCACTGGCCGCCTTGACCTCCGTAATTTCCGCGATTGCCGCCACGGCCTCTGCTTCTTCCTCTGAAGCCTCTTCGAGCCGGGCCATATCCGCCATTTTCTCCGCTCTGGACACCTTGACCGGCGAAGTTCCCTTGACCTCCGGCGAAGTTCTCTTGGCCACCTTCACCACCGCCGAAGTTTCCGTGGCAACCGAAATTGCCCTGGCCTCCTTGATTGTTGTAATTAGCCTGGCCACCTTGACCGGCATGCTGTCCCCCTTGTCGTGCCTGTGGGACGTATGCATTAGCCATAGCATGGCGCCAACCACCTTGGTTGCGCAGCTGATTCCATTCTTCGAACACGACCCGATTCGGGTTCTGATTCCACGGCATACCAGCGAACGAACACGCTTGTGTATGGTGATTGCCGTACATGCAGTTCTGGCATGTCAGCGAGTTATTTGCCACCCATCCATCAATCATTGTGAACAGTCGCTTCATTCGCGATGCGTATCTTGTTCCTTGATTTGCTTGTCCGCGATTGCCTCTAAAGCTTCCGTTAAATCCTGGGCCAGCAAAGCCCATGTTCACATGAGCCATTCCTTGACCGACTTGCTGGCTACCTGCTGAGCTGCCGCCTGCATGCTGCGATTGCTGGCCTATTCATTTCTTGTATCGCCGCGATCGTCGCGTACGACACTTGACCTTCGTTCCGTTCGTTACTAAAGGTCACCTCTTGGTTGCCTAAGGGCGGAAATTCGAGGTTATATCTTGGCGTCTGTTGCGAGCACGGTTGATTCTGTCGCCCATTCGCGACTTTTTCGAGCTGGCCAGATCTGACGACGACGCATTCATCTTGGGTTCGGTTCCCTTTCGTCACCTTGTACTTGTCTTCACCAGCCGACCAGGTGCGGAAGAATTCCTTGATATCCGCCGGATTATGGAACGTTCGTGCTCGAATTGCCTTGTAAAGGTCGCTATCTCCTTTGCATCTTTGGATCAGGAATCCGATTGTCTGCTATTATGTAATGGTTTTCTTCGATTTAAACCGCATGATCGCTTGATAGAATTGATCAAGCGTCTCTTCGCCGGCTTCGAATTTCCTGGTCATTGCTTTCCGTAAGGCGATGGCCCCTTCGTCTCGCTCGCCAAACTGCTGTGCAATTCGCCTATCAAACCCACCATATGTGCCAATGCTGTGGCGTACAGGGCAAGCGCTGCGAGGTCAAGTTAAATTGTGTTAAAGTTAAATTTTCCGCCAGGCGGTCGCCATGCGACAGCGGGTGCATAGCACCCGAGGACATATGGGCTCTGTTGTACAGAATTTGTAAGGATAGTATTTTTTGTAGAAGCTGTAGTCTGCCTATATGTCCACTGGAGAGGACAATCTTTGACATGGGTATTTCAATATAAATGAGGCCACTTTTGAAGTTCGCTGACGAAATGGTTTTAGACTGGGAGATTGAGAAGGCAGTGGGTTGAGATTTCTTTTGTATTGGTTGTTTTGTCGAGTATAGTGTGGTTTGAGTATATAAAGGAGTCTAAGTACTGTTGGAAATTAGTTGGTTAGTTGGTTGTTTTGCGAAGTTGGAGATTGGATGGTGTTGGAAGTTAGTAATTTTGTTAGTTGGATTTGTTATTAGCAATGGAGGGTTTAATAGTAATTTATAGTAATTGTAGCAGTATGATATTACTGGTTGGTGGGAGAATAGAAATTGGTAAATTGGTGACAGACAGTGGAAGTTTGGGCGATTAACGGAAGTGCATAATGGCTTTAGAAAAAGCTTTTTTTTTGTTTTGATCTTGTTATTTTATTACTTATTTTTAGTATTGTTATTTTATTAATTTTTTTATTTTTAGTAATTTATTATTTTTAGTATTTTTGATATGGTTATGTTTTAAATAATAGAATTTTGTTGTTATTTTAAATTTATGATTTTGTTGGTATAGCTGGTATTTTTGATGTACGTGTTATGTGTCGTTAAGTTATGCTTCTTGTGGTTTCTTATTTTATACAATTAATAAATTAAATATTAAAATTTTAATCGTTTAGGTAAAAACTATTGAAGAGGAGTACGACACACAAAAGTTTTTACGGTAGCGGAAAAGAATTTGGTGTGTTAAGCGAAGCATTATTGTCGTTCATTTCGGCGGCTGTTGACTATTGCTAAGTTAGAAACGGGAAACGGTAAAAACTGAGATGTAATTGAATATTTTGTTTATAATTAGCTTTAGCCTGTTTTGCTAGTTAGATCATGCTAATCAGCGTGGAAAAATTATTAGATTGAAAGGGTATTATTGGAGGTTACCCCTATTTTGGTTTTACTCACTTACAAATGCAGAAGTACGGCAATATTGGCTCAGAACTTTACATTTAGCAGTCTACAGTGTTTCTCAGTCAAAATCATAAAAAATTCAATCCCCATAACCTATAGCGCAAGTACAACAGCAAACTTTAAAATTCAACTTTTGATAATTCAGCTTAAAAATTATCTAGTCTAAGCAGGCAACACTGACATTTTTGGTGATCGGTCCAAAAAAATCATGAACTCAGTTCTCCAGCACCTTGCGAGGGCTTTTTGGAATATAAAATGTTTTAAGCGTTTTAAATTTAAAAAATTGTCTACAAATCGTTTTTCGTTTCATACCTTCAATAAACCATTTTTTTCAAAATCGTTGTCGCAGTTAGACTACCCGCATTTTTATGCATCTGTTGGTAAAGTTTCAACAATACAGCCTATCAAATGGATGAGTTTTTAATTTTCGAAGCTAGTGAAAGCGTGGACCCAATGAAGGTTCACGCGCAGCACAGAATTAACGGAATTCTGTCTGCCAAACAGATCTGGCAATGCTATAAAGCGCCTACGCTATGGAAAGCGAGAAACGACGCGATTGCGAGAACTTTAGAGACAAGACTAAATTCGTAAGAATTCCCTCATGGACAACTTCGCATTGCTGACTGCAGCAAGCCTACGTGGAAAATGGCGTGATTGCTAGAACTTTATGACAACACTAAATTCGCTTCGACACAGTGCGGGTGCGCAGAACACCATGCTTTCGCCACGCGTAAGGCGGGCGCGCAATGAACACACAACAGACTGCCAAGCGAGGGTGTACGCATGTACGCCTGCGCTCACATGCCTCTGGGAGGGAGGCTGAGCTCCGTCGAAGCAAATCCACATCCAATTCCTTGGGATCCTTGACGGCTCGTCTGTGTGTTTAATAAAACATCGAGATTTAATCTCCTTTAACATCACAAATTCCAATTACATGTGTGAATAAAGAGATCTCGAAACAAAAGTAAAACAGTAAAAATATCAACAGAATTCATTATCAAAACGACTAGGATCCTCCGACTCCTAAAGGTCACTGGGTCCTGTCAACCGTAATCCGCTTTGGTCCATTCCGCTCTTTTGAGCAATCTTTATCATCACAAATGAGATCCGCTTTAAGGAATAGGTGCGTATCAAGTACGACTTCTGAATACTGCTTCTTCATCTTTGAAATAAATGCGTATCAAGTACGACTTCTGCAAAATGAGATTCTTCCTCTTGGACGTGGAGGGACGTCTTGAAAGACAAGCTTAATGCTTCCTCCCTGGTAAGGTCATTCTTTTTAACTTGGATTGATGACTCGTTGAGCAGTGAAGTTCTCAAAGGTCATCCCTTTCTCTTTGATATGCGACTCATTTGGGCCGTGGCGATCCCAAAAGGTCATACATTTCTTCATCATGAGTTCCATATTAAAGCTCATGGGGGAACTTAGCCAATTTTCAGCTTTCAAGCAATTCTGCTTGCCTCCCTTGTAAAGGTCATCATTCTTTTTCATTTTCTTCGGTCGCACATCCTTTTCTTTTCCGTGTAGTGCAAATTGACGCGCACTTCTTTTCCTTACCAGGTTTGAGGGCCGGTTAACGCCGTAACTCCTCTTTCTTCTGAGGCCGGTTATCGCCGTAACCTCAACATCTGAAAGTTTTACTCCTATTTTCTTGAACTCTTTCTCTTTTTCACCCTTGTGGCTTCTGTCATTCCGCAAGAGTGTGCCGACTCAGTAGGCCGCAACTACACTCTAAAAGTGACGTTTTAAATGTAATGGGGAAGGCCGGTTAGCGCCGTTACTCTTCCTGCTTCGAGGGCCGGATGACCTCCGTAACTCCCCATATTTCGGATCGCCTTGATCCTCTGCAACAAAACTCTGAAACCAATAGAAACACAAACGATATGACAGTTCAACAAGTTATGTCTCCTTCGCCCTGATACTGTACCTTTATCACCATTCTCGTGCTGCCGACTGATGACCGTAACTAGCACATCAGCGATGCCCTAAAGGTCATCACTGATCATTTGAACCATTGTCGCGGTTCCGATCGAAACGTCGTCTTTCTTTTCCATTACGGTCAGACGTTCGATCTCGAGGTTCCCTTTCCCTCTCTTGCAGCTCGTCTCCTTCGCTCCGGCTGCTAGTAGCACTGTGACGATTTCGGTCACGTCTGCGATGAATACGGATCAAATGCTTTTCATGCATCAACCGTCCATACTTTTTAAGTCCCGTGACCTTTCTCGAGGATGATGGGATGACCTTTCGCAGACGCGTGACCGTTCCAATTCTCGTGACCTTTTTCGAGAATGATCGGATGACCTTTCATAAACGCATGACCTTTCATGTTTCCATAACCTTTGTCGAGGATGATCGGACGACCTTTCGTACACATGTGACCTTTCATTCCTGTCGGCTGACCTTGCCAAGCCCGACTGATACGTTTCTCTCGGCGGTGATTTCGGTCGTTTGAACTCGCCTCTCTTGAAATTTCTTTCGGTCTCCGTCATTTCGTTTTGCTGCATGAGGAATTTGCGCATGTTCTCAATTTTGTCCTCGATCAAAATTTTGATGACTTGCGACCATCGGCCTTTTTCCGTCAGGTTGACCTTTTCTTGCAGGAATATTGTATGTTCCTCTTTTGTTAGTGAGAGTGGGTCCTTAAGGATGATGTCCAATTGCTGGATGAGTGATTCGCGTATAATCGCCTCCTGTACGTCTTGTTTCTTAAATATCGCGTCCGAAACGGGTGCTGCAAGTCCCGCATGACCTTTATCTGCATTGGCTAAACCCTTCTCTGCCGCAGCTTTCTTTCTTTCTTTCAAACGCTTTCTTTCTGCTTCACGCTTTTCTTGCAATATTTGCTTTCTAAACGCATTCGCTTCCGCAGTTTTAGGAGGTTCAAGGGTGACGTCCCATCCAGGTCTGCGTCCTACCCACATTCGGTATTTATCCTCCAAAATCACTCTATCTTCGGGCGATAGTTTCAGCCACGTTTTTCTTCTGACCAGGTGTCGAAATACATCTAGGTTGCCTCTTTTTGCTTCCTGCGGAATTACCAGGAGTTGATTTGGCATCGGCACGGCGACCACGCATTCCCAACAAGGGAATCGTTCACCTGAAAGAATGTTGTTGCGCTTGCAATCCGGGCAATCCTTGTTGTAATTTGTCAACGGGTCGCCGGTGACCTTTACGATCGACGGTCTCCGTCCCTTCTCTGTCTTCTGATCAGTTTGGCTCCGTTCAGCCATTTTTCTCAGTTTTCACCTACAATCTCAAAATTTGTAAGTCCCGTGACCTTTCATTGTTTTCATTTTCCAACGTCTATCTTTAAGCCTATGATAAAAAGGCTATTCAGTGCTGAGCTGAAACTTTTCGCTGCTCTTTGATGATGACCTTTGTCATCCTTCTTTAGCTGAACCATTCTCAACTGTATGTGGATGACCTTTTCCCATCTTAGCTCATTCGCTACTCTTCTTGTAGAGTGTGGTTCGAAAATAATTTGAGAACTACGGTCTGCTCATCTCACTCGTTTCTGGTTCTGATTCTTCATTTTGTGTGGTAGACCTTCCTCCCACACTTTGCTTCTTGCTAATGTACGGTGACCTTTCTCTGCTTCATCAGCGCCATGACCTTTCAGTCCTTCCTTCGATGTGTGCTAAGTTCTCCGCTGAGTTCTTTAACTGGGCGCTTCTTCTCCTTCTCATCGCTTGAGCTCGGGTGACCTTCCCCCCCGGCTGCAATTTCTGCTGCCCTTTAGATCCCAGCTTGCCGGATAAAGTCTGATGACCTTTATCTTCCAACGTTTCAGCTTAAGTCTGGTGACCTTTAGCTGCAAACTTTTTGGATGAAGTCTGATGACCTTTTTCTTCCAACATTTTCGGCTAAAGTCTAGTGACCTTTTAGCCTCAATCGCTTCTTGAACCTTCTCTCCTTGACTGCTCAGTACCGTTCTCTCATGAGCAACTGTAAACGAAGTCAATTTCATTCTTCTTCTCTTTCATTGTTCTCGAGCTCGGGTGACCTTCCGCCCCGGCAAAACTTTCCGCTAATGTCTGATGACCTTTAGGTGTTTCACTCGCTCTTTGATCCGTCCGTTCTTTTTTGTTTTGCGCCAATCGTTCATGAGCGATTTTCATTCAACGGCGTGATCGGAAATGTCTTCGATTAGCGGGTTTATTTCTGATGACCTTTATGCCGTCCCATGTTCCGATCATTATATCATAAACTCCAATAAGCCTGACTTTCGGGTTTATTTGTTTTCGTCCTTTAGTTATCCGATCAGGTAATGCTCTGTCGGCTTCATCTTCGTCTTGGACTTCTCCTCTCAGAATCTGTTCTGGAGTTGGCTTCGGAGTTTTCTTCGTTTTCTTGACCTTTCGCTTCTCAATTTCATTTGCGATCCGTTGGCCAAGTTGGTCGGCTTGTTCTTTGACGGCTTTTATCTGTTCCGCTCTTGAAAGGTCATTCTTGCCGTTGGTGGCAGAACATGGTTCGAAAGTATCTTGAAATTTACGCTCTGCTACTCTGCGAGCAGGCTCATCCATTTTCGCTCTTGAAAGGTCATCCCTGACATTAGTAGCGGAGCGTGGTTCGAAAGTAGGTGCCAATTTAGATTCATGCTCTGCGCTTTCTTTATCCCCGTTTCGGTGTGACCTTTCATTTTGCTCAATCGTGGTCAAGTTCCCCGCTTCTTGACTAAGCTTCATCGTGACTGGCGTCTCAAAGTCTTTAACCTCTTTCTTCTGTCGTCCTCTCTTTTTCTTAACTGGCTCTTCCGCCTCTTTTGGCTCTTCTGCCTCTTTTGGCTCTTCTGCCAATTCTGGTACAGAGCGTGGTTCGGAAGTATGCTGACGACTACGCTCTGCTTGAGCTTGAGGATCGCGCTCCGCGATTTCATGACCTTTCTCAGTTATTTCCGACGCTGCCCTTTCAGCTTGACCTTTCTGAACCGGTAACGGTGGATGCCACGGTTTCAGACGATCCACCGAAACGACTCGTAAATCCGGTTCCTTCACCGCATCTTGCTCGATGACTTCGACTTCGTTCGGTCTCGGAAAACTGAGAATCTTCCACACTTTGTCATATTTATTCTTAAAGTCGGATTGATTTTCCTTCTTTCCTTGCTTTGTATCTTTCGGCAATCTGATTAAGACTCGGTCTCCGACTTTGAATTGCGGCTCTGACTTCTTCTTGTTGTAGATTTCCGCGTGCTTTTCGTAAGCATCTTTGATGTTGCACTTCGCCACTTCTTCTGAAAAGGTCAAGTTCCTTTTCATGGTTTCGACCCATTCGTCTGGTGCACCGTAGTCGTCAGGAACGTTCGTCTTCGTCACTACGTCTTCTGGCATGGTCATTTCTCTCCCGTGAAGCATGTAGTACGCTGAGTACCCCGTCGTTGCATGTACTGCACGGTTCATTGCCGATATGACGTAAGGAAGATACTTGTTGAACTTCCTTTCATTTCCCGCCTTTAGGTACTGCGACAATCCATCACTGATGGTCTGCATCTGCCTTTCCACCTGTCCTTGACCTTCAGGATGGTATGCTGTTCCAAACGTGTGTTTGATTTTGAACACGTTGGTGACCTTTTTCAGTACTTCTGCGGTGAAATGCCTTCCGCGATCCGTATGGAGAATATGTGGCGCTCCGTGCACCAGAATTACGTGCTTCACGAAGATCTTTGCGAATTCCTTTGCGGTGGCTGTTTTCATCGGCTCCGCTATAACGTACTTCGTCAGCTGGTCGATGAAGACCGCGATGTATTTGTATCCTCTTTTCTTTGTTGGGAGTAGAGGTCCTTTTAGATCCGCATAGACTCTGAAGAATGGATGTCCGACTTTGATCTCTTGGAGCTTTCCAGGCGGACACTTTCTCGGCGTCTTTATAAACTGGCATCCTTGGCATGCGAGGATGTAATTCTTGACATCCGTACTCATACGGTCCCAGTAATATCTGAGCCGGATCGCTGTCAGCGTCTTTTCAAAGCCGAGGTGACCTGCTGCTTTTTCATCATGCAGTGCATGGATGATAGCCCTTCTCATTTGCAGCGGTACTACATATGTCCTTTCCAGTCTTCCTTTCTGGTCTTTGACGCGATACAGTATGCCGTTCCATAACTGGTAATGCGTCTCAAACTTTGACCTTTTGTCTGCGTCTTGCAGGTGCTCCAATTCATCGATGATCATTGCCAAGTGCGGATCTTTTAGCTGCTTATTCCGCAACTGCAAATTCGTATCATCTTCTTCTTCTTCGTCTCCTTGTAGGTTGACGATGCGGACTACTGCAGTGCTGAGTTCATTCCAATCTTTGATGACCTTGCATCTCGGAAGAGGCTTGTGACCTTTCTCGATTTTCTTTGGGAATCTCAGCAGTCTGATGGGACACTCTTCTGGGATGTATTCCGAGAGGATTTCTGCTTCACAAAGGTCATTCTGGTCTACCATTTTCTGACCATCTTTCGTGACCTTTCCATCTTTTCGTTCGGAAGCTTCTTTTCTCACTCTGTTGACCTTTATCTTGGTAGCAGAGCGGGGTTCGAAAGTAAGACGACGACTACGCTCTGCTTCATTTATGCTCGAGCGCATGTCTCCGCTTTCTTTTTCTTCCGACACAACCCTTCTCATGTCGGCCTTCAGCCTTTCTTCCCTTTCTTCAGCTAGTTGCACGAAAAGTTGCCAAACTTCAATCGGAGGTTCTTCTCTGTTGAGTTCGTTCTTGTAATCTTCGAAGTTTGGGATTTCGTCGTACTCTTCTTCGTTGCAAGTGGGACCTTCAATTGGCGCTCTTGAAAGGGCATCTGCGTTGTCGCAATATTTGCCCGGCTTGTATTCAATCTTAAATCGGTGACCTTGTAGTGCCAATGCCCATCTTGTCAGTCGGGGATTCATGCATGACTTGTTCGACTCCGATCTTAAAAGATTCGTCAAAGCTTTGTGATCCGTTCTCACTGTGAATTCGGAGTAGTCGATGTACGACTTGAACTTTCTGACGGCGAAGACTACCGCCAGACATTCCCATTCTGTTACTCCGTAATTCTTTTCCGCTCCATGCAAAACGCGGCTTGCGTATGCAATGGGATGTCCATCTTGGGACAAGATCGCACCTAGCCCTTCCTTTGATGCGTCGCACTCGATCACTGTCGGCTTTGTCGGATCGAACTTCTTTAATACTGGATCCTTGCATAGCGCTTCTTTAAGGTCATTGAATTCTTGGTCATGGATTGCTGACCAATCTCTTTTGATGTTCTTGTCATGTCTTAGCAATTCGTAGAGATGCGCCGTCTTTTGCGCGTATCCAAGGATGAACTTTCGGTAATAGTTCGCTAATCCGAGGAATGACCTCAACTGCCGTTCAGTTGTCGGTTTCTTTTGGCCATTAACTGCCATGACCTTTTCGGGATCCATTTTGATACCATTCTCGCTTAGGATATGCCCCAAGAATCCCATTTCGCGCATGCCAAATTCGCATTTCGTCGGCTTAATTGTGAAGCCTGCGTCAACCAAACTTTGAAGGACGTTCCTTAAGTTCTGCATGAAGATCTCCCAGGTCTTCCCTGCGAAGATTACATCGTCGATATAGCCGAAAACGCATCCCATTCTCTTTGCGTTCGACAAGACTTTATCCATACAAAGTTGAAAGGTCGCAGGTCCATTGCAGACTCCAAAAGGCATTCTTTTGAAACGGAACATTCCGTCCTGCGTGACGAAAGTTGTCTTATCTTTCGAGGCTGGATCCATTGGGATCTGCCAGAAGCCACTTTGTAAGTCCATCTTGCCGTAGTACTTGTTTCCCGCGCATGCGTCAAGCAGTTCGTCTGGGTTCGGCAGTGGATAGTTGTTCTTTTTCGTCAGCTTGTTCAGCAAAATGTAATTGACGCAGAATCTTGTTCCCATAGTTCCGTCGCCATTCTTCTTTGCGGCGAGTACGACCGGAAAACTCCATTCCGCATCGGATGGTTCAATGACATCTTGCTGTAGCATCTCTTCGATGTGCTTTGTGATGAATTCACGACCTTTCCAACTTGTTCTTGCTGGATTGCATTTAACCGGTTTGGCATCGGCTGTGTCAATAGTGTGCGTTACCCCTTTGACATCGCCATACGGTTTCTTTGACGTGGGGAGAACTTTCCAAAACTCCCAAAATGCGTTTCGCACGTCATTCTTTTGTTCCTCAGTTAGGTCTGGTCCTAACTTTAATCTTTCAATTATGTCGTTCAGTTCTTCTTTCGTCTTTGCATCCACTTCGGGATCTTCAAGTATGTTTTT